AGTAAGGGCGTTGACACATTATTTGAAGCCGAAGTTTTCAGAGACAGGTTCCAACAGCAGGATCCTAGAGGGAGCAGTATACTCTGCCTTTATGAGATATGTTCGTGAAGTTGCCAGTTAGTTATAACATTGTCGGATGTAGAAGCAAGACTTATATGGTGTTACTTTTGAGTTGACTTTAAAAATTTTGAATTTATAGATCCATTTCTCAAAAATACTTGTCCAAACTTAATCAAACTTGGTATATAGTTATGATGACATAATGTTAATTTCAACACACCATCATTTCTTTAATACCATAAAACATTATGTTCCAGTGACTCTGGAAAATGGGGATTCTGGGTAACTGGACTTTTTAGCCCACCGTCTGATGATGGTGGGCTATTCAAATCGCCTGTCTATCATCCGTCTGTCCATAAACAATCCTTGTTATCGCTATTTCTTGAGAAGTACTTGAAGGATGTTTCTCAAACTTCACATGTAGGTTCCCCTTAGTCCCTAGATGTGCCCATTCAATTTTGATTCTGATTGGGAAAACAAAATGGCCGACAGGTGGCCATCTTGGATTTTGTCAGTTGGAAGTTTGTTATCGCTACATTTTGTATGTCACAGAAAGTTCTTCTTAGATCTTTCTTAGATTTCATATGAAGGATTTCCTTGTTATCAAATTATTAAAGGGAAAATTAAGGATGAAAGAACGGAAAGTAGAGAAAAGATCAGTCTTACATGGAACCAATTACTGAAGATCATTCAATGGTGGGTGCCAAGATCCCTCTGGGATCTCTTGTTTAGGTGAATTTTGAGATGCAATGCATCAATATTTATGCATGTCTATTACGTAAATAAGGTGCTCGCATACTTCAATTACTTTATTAACATTGAATTTCGTTTGCATCAAAACTCACTTTAAGTTTTTGGGTGAGTATTTGGAAGGTTTTTAAGTCCATCAGTATACATCCCATACCCTATAGGGTATATATATAAAATCATTAGAGGTCTATGCATGCTAAAATGACAACTAAATTGTATTTGCGTCGCCGTCTGTCTGTCCTTAAAACAATTCCTGTTATTGCTCTTTCTTGAAAAGTACTGCAAAATTGATCATTCTCAAATTTCATTGTACCCTAGGTCAATAGTTGTGTTTATTTAATTTTGGAACTAATTGTGAAAAATAAAATAGCCAACAGGTGACCATTATCACTATTCCTTTAGAAGTATTGGGTGGCTCATTCTCATATTATATAGGTTCCACGTGGTCCCTAAGGTTCGGATTCAATTTTGGAATTGATCTGAGAATCATCAGGAAGTAATGGATGGATTACTTAACCTTTGACCATCAAGTATGAATATTGAAGTGATGATTTTGCCCACATGACGAAGCAGAACTAATGTAAAGCATCTGATTTTTTTTATTATGAAAGCACTGAAGAAAACTTTATACTTGGGGCAAGGGTTGACCTAGGTGAGGTGTTGTGTCCTGTATCAAAAGTAGGTCATAATGTTTGATACTTGCATACACTTTCATATTCAGTGGGAGACTAATTCGCCTTATTGTCATATAAGAATTTTACACCTATTTTTCCTTTTTTTAGGTGGAAGAAGAGGTGTGATATTATCACATATTTTGGAGTTTGTAACGGCAGCCAGTGACGAGCCTGCTTTGGGTTTTTCCATTGGCCCTTCTATCGAGTTTGTAATGATGAGTCCCAGTTTCATCCCAACTGCAAATACCTGTAGTTGCTGTATGTATCTACCAAGACCAACGGCAACAGTGAAAAATTGCCCGAAGATGAGAAATTGTTTAGCTTGTACGACTACGCGTTCCAAAACAAATATTTTGGAATACAATAAGGCGCGCAGTGCATCTTTGCTGAGAAACGTTATACATATACCTGTTAATTGACTGTTTTTTAAGGAAAAACAAAAATGTCATCATTTGATTTTCATACGTTGTTGAAGTGAAAAGGAGAAAATCTGCTTTTGTATTAAAACTACTTACAGTAACTTAGCTTAGCACAAAATATGCTGTTTTGTAATGCAAGGAACAATTAATGTACAATAGATTATAATTATTTGTGAGAAAAAAGTACTGATTTCATTAAAACTTTGTAGGGATGTACTTTTGGTAATGGTCTGTGTGTTTCTGACAAAAAATGTTTGTTGTCCATCTGTCCATTATCACCTCTTTTATACATACAAGCCTATGTCAGCCCTCCATGTTTATCTGTGGTTAATGAGATCAAATTGCATTGTATATTTAACCAACCAACTTTCAGAATTTCGAAACGATAGATGTCATTTGGTTGCCATGGTCGCAAATGATGGGGGGAGGGGGAGTATTAGTTAGCCATTGGCCTACAGTTCTAGTTGAATTTGGAGAGTATAGGGAAAGGATGCTAATATTTCTTCTTCCAGTTGCACCCTGCACCAATATCGTTGAAACCATCCATGGCCATAAACCAAACCAAACCAAAGCATATGTGCATGTTCACCCCATTAGATAGAGCAGCCATATTTATGCCGAAATTTTTCAGACCCAGATATGGTAGTAGCAATCCCTATATTCGTGGATTGAAAGAGTTTTTACGATGATGCATGTAGAGTGCCTTAGGAAAGCTGTACATTTTCCACTTAAATTCTTGCAACCTGTGAGATGGTTAAGGTTAAAATTTTGTTAAATATTTTACTGCCAGTAAATGATTTTATGTTCAGTTTGAATATTACTATGCAATATATATATATAAGTTTTATCATGTTAACATTTTGACCCTTATATATCCCAAGGGCCATACAGGAAAAAAATTGACTGAAGTTTAATTGATATCCCAAAAGGGGAACTTAGCTACAATTTTGCTTTAAATGCTTTTTTGAATTTCTTTACTGACAAGTAGTTACCCACTGCTGTAGTAGTCAGATGACCGTTTAGGCCCATGGGTCTCTTGTTGATATATATACATGTACATAGTACATGGATTCACTTGTTTTGTGGCCATTGGTATTACATTAGAATAAAACAAATATAGAATTGATTAATAAAAGTTCAATTTTCTTTGTACTAAATTTATGTAATGATCAAGGAATCAAAAAGTACAGAATGGATATTATTTCCACAAATGATCATGGTATTGCAAAGAATATTAAATATTTCACAGAAATTTATATATCTTCTGTTTGTTCTAGATATGTCCAGAAAATCTTATAAAGAAACAAAGAATTACTGGCAATTAGACATCATTGTTTAACTGAATTGTGTGACTTCAGTTGCCAAATTTTGGTAGTTATAAAGAGGCATTTTCCCCCCTTTATCATTTACTTGTAAAATTAGAAACTATTTTGATCAATTAGCTATTGCTATAAACAAAGACTAAGTTAATCCTGAAAGGCATAACACTAACAGTATATATACCGGTATATAAAAAACGTCGCAAAACAAATCATTGATTTAGACAGATCGAACAGTAGATATTTGGAATATAAATCTTGGTAATGATTTATATGTACTTCAGCCATTTCAAGTTTGTTCTATATACTTGTTTTATATGTTGGGAACCTTTGGGGAAATTATGTGTAGATATCTTGGAAGAATTTTACATTAGTGCCAATATATTGAGCTGCTAAAATTTGATTACCGTTTGTTGATCTCCTATTTCTGAAACCCTGACAAGTATGATTTATTTCAACCTTGATTCATTAAAATATACTAGTATGCAACTTGCATTACCCCCATAAAAGAGATGTCGCAGTAATAAAATTATAAATTGTCTGTAAAATAATTATTTTTTTCATATTCAATTAATTTTAGTTTAGTAGAATGGCATAGAATGTCAATGGTTTGTACACTATATTTGACAACAAATAAAGTAGTTCATCACATTGTTCTTTTTCTTTCATTGCTTGTAACTTAGAATTTGCACATATTAAGGTGCAAGTGTGGTCTCATATCTCAATATTTTTTATATGCCCGTCAAAAAATGGAGGGTCGGACCGTCTCACCTGGAAGTGGAGGGGCGGGGCCCAAAAGGGCAAAAAAAGAGGAATTTCCTCAAAATCTTTTTTCTGCTGTATCATTATCTTTATTTCCTCAAAATGAAGAGCATGATAATATATAATACATGCATTGAAACAATAATTATGCATGAATAATACATTTTGTGCAAAGAGAGACAATCATGACGTACATGTACATACAAGTTTATGCAAACATACATAATTAGTTTATCTGGCCAGTTACCTGTAAGCCATGTAATAATATACAACAAGCAAATTTGTGGAATTTATATCCCCCGCTTGCAGGACATATTGTAGGTTAACATTATTGAGGTTAGGTTTAAACATGCGAGTATCGTGCTGTTGAGACATAATGTATAGCTTGAAACTTGAAGAAAAAAAAGCCCTATACTTCATTGATTATCCGTAAATATGCACAAATCACATTGGTTGGCAAACTTAGCATGAGTTGGATGTGCATAAGGAATTAGGTTGAAACATCTTAATATCTACAGCAACAAGTACTAATTATAATGGAGGACCATAACAGATGGCCCTCAAACTGCCCCCATAGTCGCAGAGATGCATCAGAAAAGGATTGCATTAACATAGTACACCTACAATGTACATACTAAATTTGAGTGAAATTATCAGAATCTAATTTGCAGTCTCCTAATACCCCTATATCTAACAATATCTAAATTGCGACCAATCAGAAGCCTCCGTGTGGTTGCTATGGTAACGAAACTTAATGCAGTTTTATTCGCAGTCTCCTAATACCCCTATATACCAATTTTCATAAAAACCGAAAAATATCTAAATTTCGACCAATCAGAAGCCTCCATGTGGTTGATATGGCAATGAAACATATGCGGTTGAATTTGAAGTCCCCTTATTAATTATACCCCTATATTAGTATATACCAATTTTCATCAAAATCGAACAATATCTGAATTTCCACCAATCAGAAGCCTCTGTGTGGTTGCTATGGCAACAAAACCTATGCGGTTGAATTCGCAGTCCCCTAATATCCCTATATACCAATTTTCATCAAAATCGACCAAGTTTGAAGAAAATTGGTTAACATGTGCTGCAGTTATTGCAAGGAAACGGCAGATAATGACGTTTTGTTATTCAAGGGGCTATAACTCCGCCAATTGGGGTCTGCTGAAAGTGGTCATCAAACTTGGTCGAGCCCTTAAGGCATTTTACACTGTGACTAAGTTTGAAGAAAATCGGTTAATATTTGTTGTAGTTAAATATTTCACGGAAACGAAGCATGACAGACAGAGAGACCCAAATTAATATCCCCCATTTCGGTGAAAGCGGGGAATAATTATATACGAATATAGGTAACAGTATCTTGCCTTTATACATCCGGATTAGAAAAATTACAGATTCTTTTTATAAAATAGTATTTCTGCGACATTACTACTACTACTGTTATTATGCACACAAGTTAAACAATCTTTTTATTGCATATATACAGATTCTAATCTCAATTCCACCAGAGGCAGATGTGTGGGACCCAATAAAATAAGTCAATTGGTTATTCATGACTTATGTTGAGTGCTTTTCAACTTAATTTGCTTACAATCTTATTTTGAACCAGAAAGCTAAATGCTAGTTAAAAGAAAGTGCAATACATGGTAATGAGAGGTAAATCCCAAAATAGGGAAAGTATTTGTAATACGTGTATATAACTTAATATAGTGCTTTGCACTTATCACTGAAATATCCAGGTTAGCGATGCAGGCCCCATGTGCCTCATGTTTAGTTCTTTATTTTTGAGACCATACCTTTTCTTAAATATGAAACAAACAGCTGATTCCAAACAGCCTCTCACTTGAGTTACATCATTGACTGTTGTATAAACGTATCACTCTCAAAGAGGTTTTATAATCGCCAATTCCAAAATTCACATTAAAGCTAGGAGAACCAACTTCCTGTGTCAATATCTGTATGCACCGGTCATTAAGTTCGGACAGAGGACTAAATATGGGCCTTTCATTCTGCGCAGTTTCTAGCAGAACATCAGGAATTGAACCCTCTACACCATAGTCCTGTAATTCATGTTCATCTACGTCAACACCAACTGTGTTTTGTAATTGCCCAGCAATCCACAGCGCTTGTGGGGACGTCTTCACAGTTCTCATTCTGTGAGCATCCCATGCATTGGTCCATACACATAGCCTTCTGTTAATTTCATCCATATATATATAATGAAGGGCTTGTAAATGAGTACTGTCCAAACAGTCCAAAATCCCTTGATCTTCCATATAGTAGAATAAATTGTAAAAAAAACTTAGAACACCTTCGTATACATCGCGCCACAAACGTTCAATACGCTGATTGTGGGTACTCTTCCCTGTTATCATGCCAGTTAATCCTCTGTTAGACAGCATGTAGTTTGCCACATCTACATTTTCTAGACCTTTGTCTGAGCGGACTTTGTTTGGTGTTCCATATTCGCATACACCAGAAAAAAAACTTTGAAACACAGTTGCAGATTTGTTGTTGTCATAGCATTTCAAAAACATGATCTTCCTACTAAAACCGTCGATACCGCCTGCTACTACAAACCGCCACCGAACAAGCTTATGATTAGTGTCTATGTGCCACAAGTGATTAGGTGCCATAACATTGTACACGCGTCTGTGGAGCCGTCCTTTACGTCGTTCCAAAACTCCTTCCGAGTCTATGCGATGCAAGGAACCCCGGAGACGCCATCTTTGCACTTTAATACCTTGCTGAAACAGCATTTGCTTTACCATACCTTCACCACAAAAAGGGAAATCTTTACTTATTTTTCGTAAGTTTTCATCGAGCAGTTCATCCGAAATGTTACTAAATGACATTTTACTCAAATTATACATGCACATCCTACGGTAAACTGTTCTTTCAGAAACTTGAAGTATCTTGGATATGTCAGATATTGGAAAACCGTTATCTAAAAGATACTCGAGTGTACATTTCGGAATATCGTAGGCTGGGGCCCCACCATTTAGTGTAACTTTGGCAGGAGGACAGTGACCATACTTTACACATTCAGTTCTAAGTTTCATCATGTCCGAAGAATTTGGTATACCTAAAATTTCCAGCTCAAATGCAGACAGTTTTACAACAATGTCAGGTGTTATTTTCTCTTTTTTGAAATTATTGCATGCATGGCCCAGGGCAAGTTTCTTGAGTATTTCTGACATCTGTCCGTCTCCCATTTTGGCTGAAAAGACAAGCATACAGACTTTAAAACTGCAACCACACAATTACAGCACACTGTATGATGAAGCTACACTATAATAAAGGTAGTCCGTCACCAAATATAATGATGTTGCCTCCAAATACAAGAGGCCCTTGGCCAGCTCACCTGGATATCTAAGCAATCATTGCAAAATATTCTCCAAATGAGATTCAAGGGAATAGGCCAGACCCCAAGGCCAATCCTTATAGCACATCTGTATTAGATTTTTCATGCCCAGCAAATTTATGAATGGTAATGGGTTGGGGATCTCAACTGTTTCAAAGCTGTGACTCAGAAACTAGGTCCCTAGGAATGTGGCCAGACCCCAGGATCAATTTTAATAGCATGACTACATTTGTCTCTTTATGCCCAGCATTTGTATTTATAGTTTTGGGGTGGGGATTTCAACCGTTTCGAAGTTATGACCCAGGGGTTAAGTCTGCAAGGGTGGGACAGACCCTTGGGTCAATTCTAATATCATGACTGCATTTGTCTCTTTATGCCCAACAATTGTATATATATAGTTTTGGGGTGGGGATCTGAACCGTTTTGATGTTATGACCCAGGGGTTAAGTCTCCAAGAGTGGGGTAGACCCCAAGGCCATCCTGGAAGCGTATGTGGATTCATCTCTTAATACTCAGCAATTGTATATGGTTATAGGGTGGGGATCTCAACTGTTTCCAAGCTGTGACTAAGAAACTACGTCCCTAGGGGTTCGGTCAGACCCAAGGGTCAATTCTAATATCATGATTGCATTCTTCTCTTTATGCCCAGCATTTGTATATCGAGGTTTTGGGTGGGGATCTCAACCGTTTCAAAGTTATGACCCAGGGACTATGTCTCCAAGGGTAGGGCCAGACCCCAGGGCCATCCTGGAAGCAAATGTGCATTCTTTTCTTTATACTCAGCAATTGTATATATATGGTAATACGGTGGGGATCTCAACCATTTCCAAGTAATACACTTGTTTTGGCCCCACCCCTTAGCCCGGGGGTTTCAGCCCCACCATTTGTACAATTTTGAATCCCTGCCTCCCATGAATGCTTCCGACCAAATATGTTTGATATCCATGGCATAGTTCTACAGAGGAAGTCGTTTATAGCAATATAGCCAAATTGCCCCCCTTTGGCCCTGCCCCTCAGCCCCACCATTTGTACAATTGTGAGTCCTCACCACCTAGCTATATAAGAATGCTTCCAGTCAAATAGTTGATATCCATCTCTTAGTTCCAGAGAAGAAGCCGCTTAAAGCAATAAAGTCAAATAACCCTTTTTGGCTTCTGATCAAGTATGATTGATATTTTGAATCTCCACCACCTAGGGATGCTGCCAGTCAAATTTAGTTAAATTCCAATCAGTCGTTTGAAGAAATTGTTGACGTACAGACATTATATAAAAGCGTCGGAATGACTAGGGGGCCAGAACGACTAAGGATGGACCGGTTAGGGGATGGAACGACTAGGGGGCCGGGAAAACTTTATTAAAACAAGAGGCCCAATGGGCCTGTATCCCTCACCTGCTTCTAATGCAACTGTATTAAGACTTTAGGTCATTAATGTGGATGCTAAGCTGATTACCCCTTTATTCAAATATATGAGCAGGATAGGTTTATTTATTTAAGTAACTTCTGTAGCCCTTCATTCCAGCATACTACTGGCCCAATATCAGGTCTCTGGGTCTCTTGGTTATTAAGTCATCATTTAAAGATTATAGGCTATTTGACCCCTGTGACCTCGAAAATAGGTCCAGGTCATTCATTTGAAAAAAGTTGGTAGCCTTCACCCCAGCATGTTAAAGGCCCAATATCAGGTCTCTGGGCTTCTTGGTTATTGCGAAGAAGTTGTTTAGAGATTTTAGCCTTTTTCACCCCTGTAACATTGAATGTAGGTCAAGGTCATTCATTTGAACAAACATGGTAGCCCTTCACCCCAGCATGCTACAGGCCCAATATCAGGTATCTTTGCCTCTCTGTTATTGAGAAGAAGTTGTTTATAGGGGAAAGTTGACGGACGCCGCACCACGGCAAAAGCTCATTTGCCCTTGGGCAGGTGAGCTAAAAATATAGGTAAGTGACCTCCTTTTGATACATGACACACCGCCTCACCTACGTAAACTCATGCCCCAGGTATGAAGTTACAATGGCAAGGAGTCGGGTAAAACACAATAATGGGCCCAACTGTGTGCTCTGACAGTGAAAAACAAGAGACCCAGAGGGCATGTATCGCCCACCTGAATATGTTTAAAATAATTGGTATGAAGTAAAGATATAGCACTCCATGGTAGGTGCTCTAAGTACATATGAAATTTAGAAAGATCCATCCAGTTCTTGAGATAAAACGGGAGCAAACTTCAAACTGAGCCCCACCCCTATGCCCCTAGGGGGGTTAATACCCACCGTTTATACAATATTGTGTCCCCTTGGCCCAAGGATGCTCCAGACTAAATAAGGATAAAATCCCATAATCCCAATGGTCGAAGAAGGATTTTAAAGGTTTTACCTCTATTTCTCCTATTGTGCCCCACCCTTCTGCCCCCTGGGAGACCACACACAATGCTTATACAAAATTGAGTCCCCTTGGCCCAAGGATGCTCCAGACTAAATTAGGATAAAATCCCTTAGTCCCTATGGTAGAAGAAGGATTTTAAACGTTTTACCTCTATTTTCCCTATTGGGCCCCACCTCTCTGCCTCCAGGGGGGTCAAAAACACCGTTTATTAAATATTAGTTGTGCAAAAAATGCTTAAATTTGAAGTGCAACAGAATAATTTCCGAAATTGTCACATTTTCCATACATTATTATACACATTCTCAGAAATGCTTGGTCAGAAATAGCTGAAATTTTGTGTCAATATCCAACAACCTAGACTACAAATTTTGAACTTAAAAGAAAAATTGTGCAATGATGTGTGTTATTGTGAAGCCTCTAGATCTATAACATTCAGCTTTTCTACCTGGGCCCTTTATTGTGTTTTACCCGAGTGTATGTCGGGGATAGAACCAAGGCGGAAGGATGGAAGAACGGACGGGTACAATGCAATCAACTACCATATCCGCTCAGCCCCCCCGAGAATGCACTGATATCTGTATGTTGCTGTCTAATGGTGGAGGATATCCACTGTGTCTTCTATAGGATTTCAGCCTATTCAGTACTCACTAAATCAGTATATATAAAACACGACTTTTTCCGAAAGATGCCTATATGCTGCCTTACATTTGAGGTTTTAGCTATACTTACAAATTGCATCAGCAGCACCGCTTCGTTCGTCAGAAATGGCGGTATTAACGTAGTAACATGGCAGAATTAAGGGGCCCCGGTGAAAAGTTCCTNATTCGCGGAGACGCTTGTCAGAATTGTATCCAACGTATAATGAAGTTGTACAATAATATAATGAAGTTGTGCAACATCATGACGTTTGTGAATAATATGATGACGGAATGGTATAATGATAAAATATCGAATAACATAACGATTACACTAAATCATATAATGACGAAAGCATATACTATGATGTTGAAACTAAATAATATAATGATAAAGTTCAATCATATATTGATGAAATCGAATAATATAACGATACAACCAAATCATATCACGACAACAGCGTATAATATAATGGTGAAACCAAATCATATAACGATAATATCAAATAATATAATGATGATATGAAATAATATAATGATAAAATCGAATAATATAACTATGACATCATATAATATAATGATAAAATCAAATCACATAATGATGAAATCAAATAATTTAATGATGATATGAAATAATATAATGATATAATCGAATAATATAATGATAAAATCATATAATATAATGAAAATATCAATTCATATAGTATTTTTATGCCATATGTGACAGCTATGGCGTTCCATAAACGTGCTCAACCAATTCATACAGAAGATATCAGAAGGGAAAAATGTGGTTATAATTTATATATAACATGGTAAGTCAATTCCTAAGAAAAATACACAAACTTGAGTAAAGTTTACTTCTTAAAAAACTCACATATCAAAATCAAAATCAAATCCCATGAATTGGATATCTTGGCTGTCTTTTATAGAAATTCATATTGCATCTCATTAAAAGCTTATTTTAATATAGTTAACTTATCAAACAAAATAAATAGTAGGTTGGGAGGGGATAAACGCCACATAATCGTAGAAAAATTATATACACTCTGTAAAAATAACTTGTGTAAAACCTTGCCTAATATAGTTTGTATTGTTCGTTTTCATTTTTGTCAACGGCTTTTTATGTTATAAGTCTAACCACCGTAATTTGAAATAAAAAGCTAAGCTGACAACGATACATATATGACTTGGAGTGAAACGTTGACTTTTTCCGCTATCTTGTGTTGTAATGTCATACCCACCCTTCATACAAAGCGTCTTTAACTTATTCATACACGGCTGGTGTCTCTCCTCCAGTACGTTGCTGTCGATGGAAATAGAATTACATGACACTAGATCACCAGTGACATCCCCTGAAAGAAAGAACAAAGTCTCCATGTATACTAAACAACGTGACAGAGAGTGCAAGAATATTTCGTGTAGTAATACCTATAAATGTGTGAACTCTTGTTACAATTCTGATATTATAAACGGTTGCAGCATTATTTTATAAATATCATTGATAGTAGATTCCATTTCATATACAGGTCAGGAAAAAAATTAAGGTTACCAATTATAGATCAATATTGATTCAAATCGATCTAAAACAATACTCTGATTATTAATCTTTGTATTGGATGTACCTTCGGCTACGGAGAGTTCGGCAGTTTCTCTAAATAGCCCGACCCAACTTTCTGAGCCTACTGGTATTGTGTCTCGGGAAAGAACACCGAAGGCGTTGGAGCCATCGATAAACGCGAGGTCGTTCCCACTAGACAAGCAATCACTCTGAGCTTCGTACCAAGTCTTGTTTTCCGGTTTATAAATAAATATGTCACTGTCTGATTTGGTTGGGTCGTACACATCTGAAATATATATATTCTGTATTACTTTGTGTTAATGCACAAGAACAAAATTGAAAAATCAGAGGCGACAACTGAAAATGAGGAGTCACCGAATCAAATGCATCATGAACCCAAAAAACATACAAGAAAACATTAGACATTGGAAGAGTCATTTGGTGGCCTTTATCATAAATGTTATCAGATCAAGGACGCTATATTGTCGACAACTAACTTAGTCCATATATACCCAAGGTAGGCAGTCACGTTAAATCGACGCTTGATACCAATGTATGCATATAAGATATATACAAATATAGTAGTAATTCGTTATAAAAAAAGATGAAGTGTACAGAAATACAATACTATATATGTATAGAAACATTTGATAAAGAGTTATGAGAGATACTGTTATAGGGATTTCGTTCCATGACTTACAATTTCGACAGAAGAATGTCCTTTTTTCCGTACAGGTTTTGTCTGTGAACAATTGGTGTTCGTCGTCGTCGGAATAATAATTGTACATCGCATCTACATTTTCTTTGTTTAGTGTGACACAATCTCCCGTCGTTCCCTCTAAGGTTACCCTGTCCTCATTAGTGTCCACTTTAAACAACAAAGAGTTAATTTTTCAAGCGAAAGAGTAACAAATCATAGAAATAATTCAAAAGGTTCACGTGGTTTTCTTCAGATTTCAAACAATGTCGTTCATCGAATATTGTGCATTCATTATCCAGCCATGAGTTGACGTATTATTCGCCACAAAAATGGATCATTGTGTACAGTATATGGTACCGAGATTAGTTTCAGCTTTATTGAAAGTAAGTATTCGCTTACTGAGAAAAGCTTCCACCACATCCATCATATAAAATAACGATGAATCGTTTTGTACACTTACAGTAGAAGGCAACTAAAGTTCATTTTATAAATACAGTTTTCTACGTTAGGTTTCTTTCCCTTCATTTAAGATGCAGTTTTGTTTCTTATTCTCGATGTTCTATGATATACTATACCTTCGGCGCTTTTGTCTAATAGAGCATTACAAGTATAGGCAGTTTTAATTATCTCCATTTAATTAGGGTACTGAAGATTAAGTCGCAATCTCCGTGCTTACATAGTTAACGTAGTTGTTTTAAATGCATTGATATTTATGGCCTATGACTGTTTTTGAGGAGCACATAAGCATGTCTAATGTTTTAGAATAAATACTCTACGCATGTCGGAATACAGTTATACTCTACATATTGAGAATTTTAGTAGTATCTCGTGATTAGTTATGAGTGGATAATTAAAAAAGAAATAAATACCAGGTATAACTTTCGGGCAAACTTTGTTATTTGGAAAACGTTTCAATTAATGAAGCTACAGGCTGACGTAATTGAACATTTGTGTAATACGAAACAACGCTCTCCTAATACTGTACATAATAATTGGTATCTACTAACAAAATACCATGTGAATAATACAGTAATAGAGAACATGCTCTATCTTTCCAATTTGAAACTGTTTAACCTTGACGCATGTACCGCAAAAGTCGTGTATGCCAACGTTGAATGAGGGAAAATTAATCATAAAAGTTTGAGGATGATAGAAACAATAACAGTTGACATTTAGAAATTTACAAGAGCACATGCCTCTGATACATAAAATGAAGTTTGTAAATCAATATAAGAAAAGAATGCTGCCAATGTGTTTAGAAACGTAACAACTCCCGATGTATGCTTGCAAGTATATATGAACCCGTAGAAGATGACTGTACTTACACTTCCGGTATACCGACATTTTGCCCGATCCGGAGTCTCCACATATTTCGTTAGCGTTCCCTGGACACAGAGTCGTGCACGGGGTTTCAGATTCTTGAGACAGCTTTGCTGAGGCCGGAAAACAGAAGCAACCCGTATCCTTAGGAGAGAAATATCAAAATGTTGCATTATGCATTATTACATGTGTGCACACGTTATAGTTTCAAGGCGTATTTTGTTGATAAACTAGTATGATAATGGACAGTTAACGTGGAAAGAATTAGTTTTTACATAATTGAGGAGATACGCACATTCCTTAAACGATATAATTCTAAAATTGACTTAAATATACTTTGATGAGAGTATACATTGATGAGGCTCTATCCACAGACGATACAAATAAACTATCACATTTGATAGAGGTTAATTATAAAGCGTATTTCCTTTAAACGAACCTCCAATCCGATGTACTGCAAGTCGCCACATTTCTGGGAACATTGATAGACAGAGTTTTCACTTCCAAAGTCGGTCATATGCAGAGAACTTCGGTCCTTAACGTCATAACAACCTTTTGAGACAAAATTGAAATGATGGACAATAAAATCCAGTGCGATGCGCAAGCAAAATAATATTATATCGTACAGAATTCTAACGTATTCATTCTTACAGTTATATACAATCACCAGGAAAATTTATACTTATAAATACCTATTCATACCACGTCAATCTATACACACGCGTACACACATGTATAACTAAATTGTATGATATGATCACGGCAAAAACATATACTATAGCACACCAACATGCGATCATAATTACTATAATATTCTTTTACATTTAATCATAAGCAAACCCTAATCATTCAAAAGTAATAACGATTTGTTGCTTCTGTCAGCGCTTCATTTTAGAAGTTCTACCCTGATGTCGTGTATACATGTATGCTGTTAACTTTCTTATGTTTAAATGCAAATTGCGATCCTTGATCTTTACTCAAAGCCTCATCAAGTCTATAGGGAAAGAGGAACAGGTACATGAAGGACAGGCGAATACAGTTGCTAAATATTAAAAGACAACAAGGATCAAGGAAAACGGGGTTATGTCCATGATATAATGGGTCTAAATATTAACATGAGAGTAGGACCACGATGTATTGGGGCTAAAACTAAAAATGCGAGTAGGACCATTATATATAGGGGCTAAATCTAAAAAAAGGCGAGTAGGACCATTATATATAGGGGCTAAATCTAAAAAAGGCGAGTAGGACCATGTTATACTGCGGATAAATCTTTACAGGCAAGTAAGGGAAAAATTATACAAATATAGTAGTAATTCGTTATAGAGGACCATGATATACTGAGTCTAAATCTAAACAGGCGAGTAGGACCATGATATACTGGGGCTAAATCTTAACAGGCAAGTAGGACCATGTTATACTGGGGCTAAATCTTAACAGGCAAGTAGGACCACAATATACTGGGGCTAAATCTTAACAGGCAAGGAGGACCATGATATACTGAGTCTAAATCTAAACAGGCGAGTAGGACCATGATATACTGGGGCTAAATCTTAACAGGTAAGTAGGACCACGATATACTGGGGCTAAATCTTAACAAGCAAGGAGGACGATGATATACTGGGGCTAAATCTTAATAGGCGAGTAGGACCATGTTATACTGGGGCTAAATCTTAACAGGCAAGTAGGACCACGATATACTGGGGCTAAATCTTAACGGGTAAGTAGGACGATGATATACTGGGGCTAAATCTTAACAGGCGAGTAGGACCATGTTATACTGGGGCTAAATCTTAACAGGCATGTAGGACCACAATATACTGGGGCTTAAGCTTAACAGGCAAGTAGGACCATGATATACTGGGGCTAAATCTTAACAGGCAAGTAGGACCATGTTATACTGGGGCTAAATCTTAACAGGCGAGTAGGACCACGTTATACTTGGGCTAAATCTTAACAGGCAAGTAGGGCCATGATATTGAGTCTAAAACTTAACAGGCAAGTAGGACCAAGATATACTGGGGCTAAATCTTAATAGGCGAGAAGGACCATGTTATACTGGGGCTAAATCTTAACAGGCAAGTAGGACCACGATATACTGGGGCTAAATCTTAACGGGTAAGTAGAACCCCGATATACTGGGGCTTAATCTTAACAGGCGAGTAGGACCATGTTATACTGGGGCTAAATCTTAACAGGCAAGTAGGACCACGATATACTGGGGATAAATCTTAACGGGTAAGTAGAACCCCGATATACTGGGGCTTAATCTTAACAGGCGAGTAGGACCATGTTATACTGGGGCTAAATCTTAACAGGCAAGTAGGACCACGATATACTGGGGATAAATCTTAACGGGTAAGTAGAACCCCGATATACTGGGGCTTAATCTTAACAGGCGAGTAGGACCATGTTATACTGGGGCTAAATCTTAACAGGCAAGTAGGACCACGATATACTGGGGATAAATCTTAACGGGTAAGTAGAACCCCGATATACTGGGGCTTAATCTTAACAGGCGAGTAGGACCATGTTATACTGGGGCTAAATCTTAACAGGCAAGTAGGACCACGATATACTGGGGATAAATCTTAACGGGTAAGTAGAACCCCGATATACTGGGGCTTAATCTTAACAGGCGAGTAGGACCATGTTATACTGGGGCTAAATCTTAACAGGCAAGTAGGACCACGATATACTGGGGATAAATCTTAACAGGTAAGTAGGACGATGATATACTGGGGCTAAATCTTAACAGGCGAGTAGGACCATGTTATACTGGGGCTAAATCTTAACAGGCATGTAGGACCACAATATACTGGGGCTTAAGCTTAACAGGCAAGTAGGACCATGATATACTGGGGCTAAATCTTAACAGGCAAGTAGGACCATGTTATACTGGGGCTAAATCTTAACAGGCAAGTAGGACCACGATATACTGGGGATAAATCTTAACAGGCGAGTAGGACCACGATATACTGGGGATAAATCTTAACAGGCAAGTAGGACCACGATATACTGGGGCTAAATCTTAACAGGCGAGTAGGACCACGATATACTGGGGCTAAATCTTAACAGGCAAGTAGGACCATGATATTGAGTCTAAATCTTAACAGGAAAGTGGGACCATAATGAACGGCGGATAAAACTTAACTGGTGAGTAGGAGGACCATGATAAATAGGGCTATATTCAAAAAGACGAGTAGGACCATGCTATATAATATGCTAAATTTAAACTTGCGACTAGGACCATGATAAACTGGGGCTAAATCTTAACAGGCGTGTAGTACCATTATATACTGGGGCTAAATCTAAAAACGTGAGTAGGACCATGATATAATGTACTTCGGCTAAATTTAGAAAGGCGAGAAGGACCATGATAAACTGGGGATACATCTTAACAGGCAATTAGGACTATGGAATAATACGTTTTAAATCTTAACATGTGTCTAGGACTATGGAATACTGGGGTTAAATCTTTAACGGCAAGTAGGACTATTGAATACTGGAATCAAATTGCAACAGGCAAGTCTATCTTAAAAGATAGTTAGGACTATAGGATACTTGGATTAAACCTTAACAGGAAAATAGGACTATAGAACACATGGGCTCAATCTTGACTGGCAAGTAAGTAAAAGGGGATACTGAGTTACATGGTACCGGACAAATGCATGTTGAACCAATAAATACTGTGGCTAAATATCAATGTGTAATTAGAACCAGGGGAAACTGAGGCTAAATTTTACCAGGCGAGCAGGAACAAGTGATACAGAGGGAAATCTCTCAAAACTCGCAAACAGGTAATGAGCCGAAATGTCTGGATTAAGACTTACAACGCAAGTAGGATCAGACGATACTGTGTTTGAATTTACCCAATAAGTTATTCGTAGGACTAGAGGGTACTAAGGTTAAACCTTACCAAGTTTCCAATAGAAGGGGGATCTTGACGTGTATGTACTTGTCCAATAACGTTCCCCTTCCTGAAGGAGTGCCTTTGATACCAGTGTTTGCTTTGTCACCATTGCGGGGTCAAACAGGTTGTATCCAATGTCCTCACATCCTTGACTTGCTTCATCCCAGGGAACTTCTACAGTGACTGCCCTGATGTCGTATTCCGCCAAACCAGGACCTTCATATATGGTATACAACAAACAAGAATAAGTCAAAAGCTAAAAAAAGACGCCTCATATGTAAAAAGAATATTGAACGTTATCATTATACTTTAACAATTCAATGCATATTTTGATGCTCCGTCGTCAACATCTAAACTGTTAGACTGGTCTGTGACAGCGTCCTTTCGGACAGGCATTGCTATAAAGATGACAAACAGGACTGCTGGTACGTTTTGATTTGAGGATAGTTCTGGTTAAATGCAAAAGTGCGATACATAAGAAATTGGACATTTAGCGATATAAGTCTATGGCAGTAATATTTTAGATCCTTATGTTACATGGTAATGTATGCTTGTACAGGGGCAGCATTTGTCTCCTTTAAATTATGATAATAAAAACCGCGGATTTGTACAAGGCTGAACACGGTAGAACAGTCGCCATTACCAAGTCGAAAACTGTTTGTCATTTCCAGTTGGAATGGATAAAACTATTTAAATTTCTGTTGTTTACATAGTTTTTCTTATATACACGGGGATATGAGAAGTGATAACACCAGTACAATCTAAGGTGGACGATGAACCTAAACACAAGACTATTTATTGTATGTGGATAAATTTAATGTCACTTTAATTTTCTTTCAATTACAAAAGCTAACGGTCAAATCAAATGCATCGCCATTTGAGCATCAAGATATATTTCGTTAACATGATCAAAATTGTCTTTCCAAAGGACATCATTACGCGATAGAACCGCATCTTGTGAATGCCGTAGAATAACTGCAATTGTTTAATGGTAGGAATAAATTAGCCTCAGTAAGTGGCTATATAAGCAAATATCCTGACCTACTCAGTATACCAGCACCCCCTGGGTTCACTCCAGCACACAAATGTATTGCTCTTTCATATTGGTATTTACTCTCCTTTTTGTCAACATACATTTGACATTCACACATTTCAATAAAAATAACTATGGCTCACAATAACCATTTCTCTTTATTGACTTTCTAATTATTTTAAAATGTGTTTTTCTCTTTATAACGAGATAGTGTCACATTAGTCTTTGCACAAGTGTAAAACAATTAATAAATATTGTCAAATATCTAGATTCGTCTCGAAATTCCCATGACCACAATAACAGGTAAATGGTCTGTGCCACTTTTGATAAATCTCACTGCGAGTGTTTCCATGGACTAGACTGAACACACACTGACAGAAGGGGGTTGTGTTAGGCTGTTTTGAATAAGATTGGTAGTTATTACGACAGTTTGCCAGACAGGCAGATTAAAAGTCTAGGTTTTGACATTATCTTTCTCATTCCAACTTTCTTTGTGTTGATAAGAGTGATAAGAGAAATATGTTTTCATGTTCTGTTTCAGAGTCGTAGAAACAAATTCGGTTAGATTTTTGAATGGCAGCTCCATATATACGGAATGTGTTTATGTCACTTTCTGCATATGTTTAATTTTCATACGAAATAGGAAGTCAGAAGAAATAAAATCCTCATCGTTTAAGTGAATTCATTACCCATCATAACATGATTGTAAATTGATAAAGATTAAGTGCATTGAAAACTGTTTAGTCCAAACCAACAGTATTACAAACACATACAATTGTAACAATGATAAATCTGTTATAGTCTCTGGAATACAATTAATTCCTGTTAATTTCTGGATCATTAATTGTACGGAGAGTTCAAATCCAGATTATTGAAATTCGAAATAAAAGCAGTTAGTGTTTCGATAAGTATTGTTAAAATGTCTTTTTTTATTATTGCTTATCTTTGAACAGTATTAATATCAAAACCCAAGTATCTTTACTTCCAATTTAAAAAAGTTGAAAGATATAAGTCAGTGTAAAGGCTAATTCGAGGATCTCAGAGGAAAAAACCAGACTCTGTACGGTATCATTCGTTAAATTTCCGGAAGTGGGACGGATATACATGTATGTGAGTGGTTGTATTCCTCTGTCTCATTATTACCAACACTGAAACCATTGAAGTTTCCACAAATGTTCCACTAAGATTAGTGTAAGTTTATGTAAATTTTGTGCATTTGTATCACCTCATTTTCGGATAAGTTATAAATTGCGTGGGTGTTAATTAACATATATAATATAATTGTTTCATGCGCTTCATATGCATGACCTTCTTAAAGTCGTCTGGTAACATGTCAGTGTGTTCCTTAGAGTCAATGTTTGTCACTGTATCGGAAGCTTTATATCTGATTTGTGGTTACACATGTTCCATTGAAGTCTCGATATCGGGTGTTGACATAGCATCGTCACGCACGTGTACTAATGTTTACCCGGTGCTACTATGATTTACACTACGGTATTGGAATGACCGATACGCAATACGGAAATGACGACACGAACTTATGACAAGAAAAACACGTGTATTAACAAGGATGGGAAGTCGTTAAACTGTTATATTGCGTCTTTTATGGAGAAATAAAACATATTTCATATTTAATGTATGAATACGAAAGACAGGGAAATACAGCATGTTACCGACATATCAAAATATCGAAATCTAAACAACTTTTCAAATATGTTTCTATTTAAATGTTTTTTTATTTCAAAGCTGACTGTCAAAGGATTGTGAAATCACAATTTTGTCAGAATAAACACATTCATCGTTTAAAGAAAGAACGTTTACAATCTGCGACGAGTTATGTTTGTAGCACTGGTTTATCAAAATCATTCAGATTCAGATAACAAAAAGCATTCAAATCGTTTTCGTCTTCCCATTTTAATCAACTGGCAGCCAATCAAGTCGCAAGTTGAAACTTTATCACCAACCTGCAGGCCTGGGAATATGCATTGAACGTACACATATTGAGTGTGTGTAGTTTCCGGAGCGGTCCCTTCTCCAGCGCAGTCCGGATGTTCTCGACTCCGTGCATGCGTTCAAAACTGACGCATATTCTTGACGTAATTCAGAAGATGGAATTTGAATTGCAATATTTCTCAAATTGGTCGTTACTTGTACATGTAAATATTTAGAGCCAAACCCTGGCAAATTCTGATTATGATTCGTAAATAGGCAAAAAGGAGGAGAATTGTTTACATTTCAACAAATGCTTCTTAAACGGATATACTATATCTCGATAAAACAAACATACAAATGCTATCCATTGCAAAAAGAAAATAATTGTCGAATTTACGCGTCTACAGTGTTAGACATATACATACAACAAGCATGTCTGTTCCTCTCGGACTTCCTTACAAGACTTGGCATATAAAATCAGTGTTTAGCATTTGGTAAAATACGCCAGATAAATTGAAACTAAACAGTTTAAATAAATGCACGTTTGGTGCAATTTACTTATAATGAGGTGATTATACATAGCTTGAGGGGATCTCTCCTCCAAATTGGTGGTTGATATGGGGAATGTATAGCCTTTAACAGAATTAGGAACTTTTTAACATTAGTCTGTCATCCGGGCGTCGTCGGCTTGACAGTTAATGGTTCCGTCTGGGTTTTCCATACTTATTGCTCGTTTACAAACACTGCACAGTTTTACTTTTAACTTTGTTACTGGCACACCCAGTATAGAATATCAACCTGCCGTGATAGTGCTAAATACGTATTAATTCTACCATCCCATTCCCACTCCCCTTCAGCCAGACATCCATCCGTGCCTGTCCGGTCCTCCTTTTTATTGATATGCAATCCCCTTCCCTCTCACTCACTCTCCTCTCCTCTTCATCTTCTTTGCTACTTTTATCATGCTCAGCTCATCAAATCAAACATCACCCTATCTTAGCGCGTTCTCATCTTAACCTCAGTGCAATACACCTTGGCAAGCCCTGCTATACCCTGTCTGCCCTACTCTACTCTAACTGTCCGGCCTTGCTATATGCTAATAGCTGCCCTATGCCATTATCCCCGCCCCGCCCCGCCCCGCCCCGCCATCCTATCAATTTCCGTCTCAACCCTAACTTCTCCCTAACCCCCTATCATTTATCCCTAGTAATCTATAAATCCGCTTCACAAACACAGTCAATTACTTGATATCATCAACCGCAGAAGTGACTACGATTGTTGAATTGATTGAGAGGTAAATGGTTATGATGTTTGGCAAGTAGCATGTTGATGCAGCAGGCTACTAAGATGTTCAATTGGATAACCGTGATCCGTGTTCAATTTCACATGAGTTAAATGTGTTTTAAAAATATAAGCAACATCTTCTGAATAGCCACCAAGATACCTGGGGTTTCTGTATTGGCTTTTGGTATAATGGGATGGAATGACATTAAGGTTTCTCGTATGAACAACTTTCATTCACTTTTAGTGTCACAGGAGGAAATATTCCAATGACTTGTTCTGGAAGACACTGGTTCATTTTGAAGGTTGCATGAAATCTAAGTCACTGGAAAACCAACAAGTATTCGTAAAGTGTAGAGTAATAGTATCTATCCTGGTAGAAGAATGTTTAAATATATAAGCTAGGCGATACATCTGTCCTACACGGTACATATGTTTTATACATGTATTTACAATGTGGTGGTGTACAATATACTTCTAATTTACGTTAAATCAAAATAATCTTACTATGACTTTATGTTGTGAATGAATAAGCTCTCATTTATCATTAGCCCAACCCCGCCAATAGCTGATAAATGTAAAATACCCTTTCCAGCTTTTTTATTGATATTTAAAGGATGTATCAATGGAGTGTTGTCTCAACGATCGTGATACAAATCGATGTATATATATATATGTACTATTCGAAACAGCAAACAAAACGAACACACTCATAACTGATAACTTGACCGATATATCCGAGAAATAACATCGGAAATTATCACATTTCGTATTATTGTTCAAAATCTCGAAATCAAATCCCATTACAGCGATTTAGTTGTTCTTATTGTACTGCATATATACTACATCACTTTCCTTCGTCATGTTTTATACAAATAGCCACAAATATAACTACATGTATTTAAATATGATCAAACATAAAAAAAAAAAATGCCTTTAATTGTAATTGTTTCGCGCACACCAAACAAAATAATTATATTTATATACAATTATAAATTTAATAACTTACACTCACTTAAATTAAATTAAATTCCATCAGATGACTTTTTCGTGAACAGCAAAATCCAATGATATTTTACATAAACCTTTTTAAATACTTTCAGAATACGAGAATATAAAAATAAACTTACCAATCATGAAAACTTGGAGAACTATGGACACCATTCCAATTACTTTGTCCATGCTTATTTAAAATTCCGTGAGTGTGTAACCGCTGTTAGTACGTAAAACACACTATGTGTAAATCTGTGGTATCCGTGTGTAGGCTGTACGTATCCTCCTCTGAATGGGCCCGGGGGGAACTTACATACAGAACAAGTGGTCTAACATAGCACTGGGGAATAACACAGAACAGCTCCCATGTGTTCCAGATAACAGATGTAAAAAATCACAGTTTAGAAAATATTTCATCAGTTTTACTTTATTTACAAACTTGGCTTCCATGGAAGGGAAACCGGAAGTGATATATAACACACACCTCTGCTGGATAGTTTTTATCACGCGAGGATTGTGATTGGGGAGGGATTGCTAGGGAGGGGGTAGTTTACCGCGCGGGTTTTTTGATTGGGGGGATATCTGGAAGGGGGTAATTTATAACGCAGGGGTCGAAATGGAGAGGGGCCATGGAGGAGGTAAATTATCACGCGGGCAAGATGATGGGAGGACCAGGGATGGGATCGTCCATTACGTTCGAATTGTGACGGAGAGAACGAGGAATAAAGACGATTTACATATGGGGTTGTTATGGAGAGAAGGGTATTTAATCAAAAGGGTCTATTATTATGAGGGAGAGAGTGTATATGGAGGGTGTCGTTTACTGCGCTGAGATTGTGATGGAAAGGACCTGGGAGGGATAAGTTTATTCTGATGNCCACGCAGGGTTCGTGATGGGGGATAGTGTCAGGGAAGAGGTAGATATCACGCGGGGAATGATATTGGGAAAAACCAATGAGGAGGTAGTTTATCACACTAGGGTTTCATATGGGAGGGGCAAAAGAGGGGGTAGTTATCGTCAGGCGAATGGTATTTGGAGGATCAGGGAGGCGGTAATTCATCATACGATGGTTTCATTCGGGAGGGCTAGGGAGTGGGTCGTTTGGGCAAATGAGGGATTCTTTTATCACACAGGGGTAGTGGTTGGAAGAGTGGTATGTCGGAGGAGTCGTTATAGCAAGGGCAGACCGGGGGAGGGGGAGGGGGGATGGATTTGGAGGGAGTGCAAAGGTAGGGTATAGTTTTGGAATCGAGAAATCGAGATTACAAGAGAAAGTAAACAAAATGAATTGTGTTATTATCGAAATGATCACCGTATGGGAGCAAAAACCATAATTTCTGGCAAGGGGACAATCATACGGTCGCGCTCCCAAATAACTCATCTGTGATCGTTCTAATTTAAACAGCAAGTAGCTAGGATGCATGTAACTCGTGTGGGTCAGGACAAATTTTAAGTACAATTAATTAATGGAACTTATCCAGCAATGTTCTAACTTTCCGTCACTATCATTCAAAACCTAAATCTAATTTACCAACGAAGTGATCTAACTATCTCTAGAAGTGCAGATGTCTGTGTTTTGCTTCGCATTTCTAGACATGCACATGCCCTGAACTAGAACACTTGCCCAATACTAACTGCGTCCCTAAATATCTAGATTTCCACATGACCTCAATTTAACACTTGTCGAATTGCTATGTATCTAGACTTGCATATGTCCCTAATTCAAACATTCTCAAGCGTACACGTCAAGACTTGCACACGTCTTTTATTATTCCTAAATTCGGTGGTCGGGTGGCGCAAGGTATAGTGCACCTACCTCTCACCAAAACGGTCGAAGAATAAAAGGTATTGGGTCCACGTGGGTTTTCTCCGGGTACTGCTCTTTCCTCCCACATGAAGACCCCATCCGCGCATTTATCCGGGCCAACAAGTGCGATTAATATGAATTGCAAATACTTATTTCATGATTTTTGTAAAATGAATAAATTTTACATTCGCTCAATATTTATATCGACTCGCACATTTCGTAATATATATATTAGCTCTACGTTACACTTGCACTCTTAATTTTAAAACAAAAGTTTCCCTGACCTTTTAACCTATTACTATTTAAGATATTTTATCTTTTTTTTTCTTTATCAATCCTAAGATCGATTTATAAAAAAGAGTGATTTTGAATTGTTGTCAGAATTTCCCATACGGACCCCATGTAAGTGGTGGCCGAGTATTACAAACACCACATCCTTCCGCACCATTTGCAGTAAGTAATATGGTCTGAAGTTAATTACATTTTGCAACACATTATCACCAGCACCTCTTATCAAAAAATATAATATTCAACAGACCTTAACTATACCAGAGAAGAACAGTACGGAGCAAACAAATTGCATTTTCAAAATTTGATTGTTTTCTGGAGACGGATGCCAAACATTGTTTTTAAAATGACAAAAAAATAGAATTGTAATGTAATATTAAACAAAACTATGATAATTAACATAAAATTCAGTTTATTAATCCAATGGTGTGATTAACAATACCTTTGAAGTAGGTATAGTTTTGTTTTGTTATTTGTGCAAATAGTTTAGCCACAGGGACCTGAACATTTGTTACAGCTACATTTCGTATCTATTTGGACCTTAACTAAGGTATTCAACTTTCGGTAAAAATGCCATCCCCAATGATGTAATTTAACTGCGAAAAGCTTTGAAACTAAGAGATGGAGTGTGTTTTTGGAGAAACCAGAGATCATGTCTGCGGAAGGAGATTACATTCTACGTGCATATAGGATGTTTTTAAAAGAACAAGTGTCCATCTTTCCAACGATACTAAGCATGTTTTTGTGCATCAATTACGTATACAAATGTGGTGCAAGATAGTTAGATGGGGTCGAGTTTTCGACATTTAGGTCCAACTATACTTGTAAGATATTCTCAGGTCTCTATAAGTTTAGCGATGTTGTTTTCTCTCACACTTAACAAAACCAGTTACCACATTACAATGAATAGGTACATTGTATAACTAAGGAAAAGTTTCGTTTTCCCGTGGCTGCTGTAACAGACAGACTCAAGAGCCAATGATCAGCCAAGACTTACATGCACGCGTTAACACAGGCAGGGATAATGTACGTAATACCATGTTGGCCTCTTGTGTATGGCCACTTGTGGTTGTCCACGTGGAGCTCCAAGATAAGCCGTCAAAGTGTGTTTGTGGTAACCAAGATCTAGACTGTCTGGTGTTTTCATGAGGCTACATGACTAAGTGAGTGAAAACAATTCATAATGAGCTAGTAAATTATGTACACCAAAAAACACTTATTGTTATTCAAAATGTATTTGATACCCACACGAATATCATCCTCAAACAATCATTTTTTTTTATCGATAATAAGAATCAATAAAACAAATCATGAACTTTCTCTCTGAATTTCCTCCTATTATTGTGTAATAAGTATTAATACTCGTATCTTTTCAGATACATGTTGTATATCAGTTTATTGAATACAAATTATGTAATATACCATTATATTGATAAGTCTTGTCTGGGTGAATGAGGGTGAAAAATGTTCTTGCGTGTGTATGAATGTGAGTATGATGAATGACGAATGATTGCTGCTGCTGCTGTTGCTGATATGATGATGATGATGATGCTGATGATGATGTAATGATGTGATGATGATGATGATGATGATGATGATGA